AAAATATAGGGATTCTTCAACTATTTTTTAACTGATTGCGAAATGTTTTAGAATCGATTTTAAACTGATTATATACTAATTATAAGCTACTTATATAAAATTCTAAAAAAAATATATATAATTATTAAATAAAATATATAAATTAATATGATTTTATGATTTTAATATTATGTTGTTTTAATCTGTTTAGAATCAGTTCTAAAACATTTCGCAATCAGTTAAAAATTAGTTGAAGAATCCCTATATTTTGCCGCTATTAGGTGCCTAAAGGGGGTTCACTAGGGGGGAACTTAGGAGGGGAGGGGGGTCATATAGGGGGGTACTTAGGGAATGGTAGTTAGTAGTAGTAGGTAGGCGTAAGAAGATGGTAAGAGGTAAGTAATGTAAAATTTTAGTATTGGTATTAGTCATGGTCAGGCAGCAGGCACGGGCCCTTAAGCCTAGTCACATGACTTTTTTTTGCTGACTAATATGGTCTGGAAACTAAACTAGTTGGTCGGGTGGCCTATGTACACTAGCTCTCAGACGGCCAATGAGAAGTTGGAGATTGCGAGCCCTCCAATTAGGTAGACACGGGTTTGATCAGAAGCTGAGAACCTTCCAATTTTGGAAGTGTTCGTCCAGCCCGACTGAATGGACAAAACATTAGGAGTACAAACCTCCCCATCCCTCCTACCCCATTCCGTTAAGTAAAATTGTTCGCGCAGTTAGAAATGTCAGAATCCTAGCATTGCAAGTGCATGTGTGCTTTCCAACAGTATATTCTAGTAACAATCGATCTTTTGCGAACCCTTCAACCGGACCAGTTGGTTGAACTCATCTTCGATAGCATCTCATTGTTATCTACTCTACCATACTATCTTCCTTCTAAGGGCTCATATTTCTAGGGATTTTGCAGTTTATTTTACTTGATCCAGTTCTCAAATCCTGAGGAAAACTCACTATTTCTGTGTCATGACCTCAGGAGTCAACTATATTTGAATTCCAAGGGTTGCATTGCATCCATTCCATATGGCTGAAAATGACATAAAATATTCAGCGGATACTAAGCAGTTTTACGCATGAAGAGGGGCCATCTCTGCGCCCGACCAAACCAAATCGACGGTCTGGGAGGTCCGCGTGAAGTCTGGCTGTCGAACCTGCAATGTGGGATGGAGAAATCGTTGCCGCTGTAGCAGAACGGGTTATTGCTCTAGAGGAAGGGGATTTCAACAAAAAATGACCCTTCCTCTCCTCCAGAACTGACGAAGGGAGGAAAGCTGCAGCCCTCTTTGCGAATCGGAGATACGAATCATCGTCCCTTCCTGAAGCTTACCGATTCGAAGATATCCAAGTCATCATGTAGGATGGAACCAAAAACAAAGGGTAATATTTCACTGTGAGACGTCTAGTGTTCGCTAACTTGGCGTTCAGCATCAACATGGTAGCAGAACACGATTCAAGAGAGCAATAGTGACGATTTATGATGTCTATATATCTAATCCATGTCAATTTCTCCATGTATGCACTCAACCCCCAAAATGGACATTGATTGGAAATAAGGAGAGGATGGATCAAAGATAAATGTGGCGTTTCTCTTATCTAGTCCTTCAGAGCCCGCCCGGGGCAATGGAAGTGTCAGGTTTAGAATACGGAACCCGAGCGTTTCGACCAGTCGTCGTAACTTTCTCTCATTTTGAGAGGTTGTCAAAGCAGACAGATATTGTCTTACATGCACGGAAGCCGTTGCAGCGAACATCCAGATGTGATCGACGATGCCTTGGCATAATTGGTTTCCCCAATTATCTAAACGAAGGAAACAGGCAAGGGCTGGGAAAGCCATGCCTTGTCCTGGAGACAGACCATATCTGGGTAGGGGCATGAAGTCCCGTAGATGAGGATCTGCCAGTTTCACGGCAGACAATGACGGCGTGCGCTCAATGTTGGCTCGATATTGAATCTATATTTTGTATTCAGATCCAATCATGACGCATCTTCATTCTGTTTCTCAGATTCTTTCGATTCCACAGCTTGTTCAACGCTCGGTTCAGCTGGCTGGACACGTTTTCGGAAATGAGCCTGTAACCAGCATCGGTACATCTTGAGCCGCCGCTTACGGTTGACAAGCAGTCTCCGATCGACACCTAGATTGAGAACCTCAAAGACTCCCTTGCTCTCTTCTGTCGAATGTTCCTTCTCTCCTTCCGTCTGCTGCGCCGTTTCGTCTAGCTGCAGGCCCTTCTCGGGAGTCCACCGTCCAAATATGCTTTCCAGCTCGTCTTTCTCGAAGAAGTATACTCTGGTCCCGTCCCCCCGAACGTAGAAGTTCTCTGAGAGATAGCGTCCCTTCTTGAAGCGCACTTGCGCCAGGTCGCCTCGACCGTAATCTCGGAACAGAATATCGCCTCCCGGCTTGAGAACCCGATAGATGTTACGCAGCGCGCTATTCCACTGATCCGGTGCTAGAGCAGAGAAGACGAAGATGAGCACAACGACATCCACCGACTCTTCGCCCAATCCGGGAGGGAGAGAGTCGTCGCCCTCTTGGGTGACATCCCACACATCGGCCTTGATGTGCTTCTCATTGTAGTGCTCACTCTCGCGCATGACCTTGACTGCTGTTTTGGAGAAGTCGCATGCATGCACCATCAGTTCGTCATTCTCGTTGTTCATGATCAGCGGGAATGCCGTGTTCCCTGCGCCCGCTCCCACCTCCAGCACCACCTTTCGACCGGCACCTTTCCGCGTGACTTCAGCAAGCACTGGAAACTCCTGGCGCAGCCATTTCCGGTTCTTGAAGAAGTTGGCGGCATTGTTCTTGTAGAAAAGATCCCACCAGCGGGCGGGGTTGGAGTTGAAACGGTGGCGGTCAAATTCAGACACGGGGTTCTCGCGCTGTTTGGCGTACTGGATCTCGGCGTAGGCATTGTACTCCGGGTCGGTCTCGACGTGGTCCCAAGCATTGAATTCGAAGACGTCGTCACCTTCCTCTAGGTAGCGGGATCCAAATTGGAATGGGTCGCTGCGCTTCTGGTTGTTGGCGGGGTCATGAGAGCGGTGCGGGGGGACATGGGGAGGTTCCACCAGCTGGGCGATGGTCGCGTAGTCGGAGTCGGGGGGGAGAGCCGGACTCATGGTCAATCGCGGTGCAGTGGCGGTTCATAAGAGTACAGAGGGGAGGGCAGGAGTCGGGGACAAAGAGGGGACTGCAGAAGATGAAAAATAGAAAGGGCGCGCCCCAATTCGGCTAGCCTGACTTTTGCGAGATCGTATCGATAAGCCGCTTTTTATCGGCGGCGGGGACCCTCGCGGCCCAATAGGAAGGCGGGCGATGAACGCTGGTGCCTGAGAGCCTCACGCCGCCCGTGACTTCCCCGTGTCCGCTCCTCCTCTCTCCTCTCGTCGTCTCCATCTCCATCTGCCTCTGCTCATCCCAGCGGTCTCGGAGACTCTCCAGGGTGCAGACAGATGACAGGAAGATGGCTTTTTGAGCGCTAGGTCTCTGTACCTACCAATTCTTACCCCCTTTTCCTTGGTCGTTCCGTGTTTTCCTCGGCCGCCTTCCAATCGACAGAAGACTTGCCAGACCCGCACGCAGCCCTGTTCCGGCCCTTCCTCTTGGCCACTATCATCATCCATGTCTGGCCCATTCGACATCACTTAGACGTGTTGATCTAGCTATAACTGTCTTTTCTTGAGAGACATCTAGATCTTCACCTTTCTTCAGTTTCCAATCCGGCATTCAGGGCCGCTAGCAGCATGCCCCTCCTTTGCGGCTGCTTCGCGTCTTCCGCTTCGCAGCGTCCACGTGTCCAAACTCAGGTCCCCTCTGATCCGCAGGCGGGCTTTGTACGGAGAGATGACCACGTGGACCCGCCTCAATATTCCAATGATCCCGCCCTGGAAGGGGTGGAGGGCTACCTTCCTGTCGTTCCGCTTCCGAGATATACTCCCCGTCCTGTGAGCGTCCATGAGAAGACACTCCAGCTGAGCCCAGATCAGGATGCTCCTGGCGCTGCCATTCGCCGAGATCCAGATGAGAAGAACAAACGGGATTTTGAAGATCCTCCAACGCAGTCAGCGGAGAATCCCAATGCTGACGACGCATCATCCACATTCTCCATCCCCAGCAGCTTTGGTCACACGTCGACGGAAACAAGGGATACGCCGCCGCCTCCGTACGAATCTTGTACGTCCCTGGTGCCATCGCGCTCCAGGGCATCATCAATGGACCAAAGGGCAGAAGTCACGATGAACACTCAGCCCACGCAGGTTCCATCGCCAATCACTCAACCTCCAATGGTTCATATACCCCAGCCACGCCCTGTCTTTCCACGGCCGGGGTTCATCTACGGCAGCAGAGGAACTCCTTACTCTGATGCTACAGATCACATGACCGGTGACCAACGGAGAAGGTCGTGGAACAGTCAATGAACAGTCTACATCTGGTTAGCACTTACTACAGTGATCAGATAGATCCTAAAAGGAAGATTGCCTTTCTATATAGCATTTTTATACCATTTCTCTGGCATTTTTTGGAGGCATTATGGGCCATCCTATTCGGGTCATGTCGCCGTGCATGCACATAGTCGGGGGAATATCTGCTTTATCAAAGGCGGTTGAGTCTTCGAATTCTGTTTCGGCGTTTCGGATCTCTTTTTTATCTTTTCTTCTGACTTGCTTTGCGATTTCTGGCGAGTTCGAAGAGGATACCCATGGGAGGCGCATAATCCAGGCGTCTGATGGGTGGGGTCTAATATGGCAGTATATACAGCAGCGGCCTAGCCTCGATGTTTTTAGAGTCAGGTCGAATTTGATGGATCTTCTTACTGTCGGTATTGCAAATCTAGCATGCAACGGATAGGGAGAGACCACATAATATGCGTCTATGCGCCATAAAATAAATGTCCCAAATATTGAGATTTCCGAGGACGTTCAGAGAACGAATTCTGAATCCTTCGTGCCCGACTAGAATGCGATTGGCGTCAAAGCCCTTCCTGACGCTTGAGCACATAGCCGCACGCGCAGCTTGAGCCACCAGCTGAGAATGACCAGCGCGGGAAGGCCCCTGTTTGTGAGCAGCTCGAGGTCGTCCGGCAGCAGACGGCCCATGAAAGAAAGGGGCGTACTGGGGAAGTTCGTCACCGAGACTTCGAGTTCGAGTAGGGCGACAGCATCCGCGGCGGCCAGTCTCTTCCGTCGTGGTCTTTGATTCCGCACAGGTCAGCCAGGCCCGAAGCAGGCTGACGCGGCCGACGGTGGTCGTCAAACGTGTCCTTGTCGTCCAGATGCTCGCGGGAGCAGCCCTTGCGCCAGGCCCAGCGGATGGCGTAGGCTTCACTGCAGCAGGAGCCAGTTCAGAAGCTCCAGGTCTTTGTGGTCCGAAAAGACCCACGTGTTGGCCGGCTTGTATTCCTCAGCGGGAAATATGAGGACGCTCGTGAGCATGCACGTCGAGAAGAGAGTGCCAATAGTGTGGAGCTCGCTCGACGCTGGCTTGTATCTCTCACGCGGATAGGCTGATCACTTGCTGTCAATGGTAGGCCTGGGTGACCTTGTAGCATGAGTTGTCTAGAACGAGGCGGCAGAAAATGGGTCATAGTGACAGCCATGATGCTGTGCATGAGGTACGGCTCCTGGTTGCGGCCAGATGTCAGCTTAGGAATAACGACTGATGGTAATAATCAGAAACAGCTACAACTTCAGAAGTCCTGTTTTGCTTGTAGTGTATCTAGGTAAATTAGACATGTTGCATGCAAGGTCAAGGTTGTACTCTCTCAAAGTAAACAATATGTGGGCAATCGCATAATTGCAGTGTAGTGTAAAATACAGGCCCTGCTGGCGCCAACTTCAAGTTCTTTTCTTCTTGCCTCTTTTTTTTTGTTATTTTGAGAGGAGATAGCCGTCTACCTTAAGTAGAAATCGAACTTCGAACTCGGTTCCGTACTGATATCTATCACTCCTGCACCTGCTGCCTGATGGCGTAGACCTTGAAAACATCATCACTTCTATCCTGCGCTCGCAGCGACAAGGCCCCATGCTCGTCGATCCACCACGCGACCTCGAATCCGTATGGATAGGGCCCTTCCCTGGGACGTTTCTTGACAAAGTGACTGTCGTCGTCGTCATCATCATCGACATCGACATCGACATCGACATCATCGTGATCACTTTCGCAACTGCCTTTTTCACTGTCACTGGTTTCATCTCTGATAACTTCGATGAGGAACTGAGGATGCATGATTCTGAAAGCCGCCAGAACCTTCTCATTTGCTGCCTCGACTCGAGCGTATGTGCCGATGACATGGAAAGTTGTGTCCTCGCAATCACAGAGTTCTTCATGGATGACAACAAAGACCTCGTGTGGAGCGGCAGCAGCCACGGCAGCATCTGCACCAGCACCAGTAGCACCAGCAGCAGACTTAGTAGAGCTTGGTTTCGCCCTGTTATTACCAGCTTGAAGACTACGGTGAACAGCTTCGATCTCCTTGAGCATGCTTTTCGGATAACGGAGGTCGTTTCCTTCCTTTTCGTTCACTTTGACACGCTGCCCAGCGACGATGAGCTGTCTGCATGGTCCAGCACCATCGTCTCTTGCAGACGAGTCCAGACGACGTCTTTTCTTGTTGTGTTTGGGATTTGGCATTTCGATATCGAGATTTTTGCGACACGAGGAGACGTGTAGAGGAGCGTCTGGAGGCTGTGGATTGTACAGTACACATATCATCAGTATATCGTTGCATAACCTTTTTTTTTCACGTTTCGTTTTTTGAGGACAAATGGGATACGTACCTAGACCAGACTCAAAAAAGGTAAGAATGCAGATATCCCGGTTTTCTGAGTAGCTTGCAGCAAGGCCTGTTGTTGTTTTTGTCAGGTTAGGATGGTTAGGACGTGTTAAGAGGTAGCAGTTAGGGAGTAGGGAAGTGGTGTTGTGATCATGACAGTATCGTCGTCAGGTAAACAAGCCACTCTATCAGGTGTCAGACATGTTGTGCTGGTTTCAGTAGTCTTGTCTTGTTTGCATCTCGTGGGTAATTAAGAATATGGACCTGTTGCGTACAAGCCTGCAACCTCTCATGGTGAGCAAATCGTCTAGACAACAATGTGCATACCTGACTGCAGTATGTATGGCACAAAGAAACAGGTATTCTTGAGTCAACTCCAAGATCTTTTATGATATTACACAACCTCATCTGTCCAGAAATAACATTAGAAAAACAAATAACATTGTTGGCATGGAGATAAGGGAGGATATAGATACAAAGGACAAAGAGATGAAGGGAGAAACTATGAGTGGTGTATATGAAGAAAGAAACAGCCGATGGACATTTTCAAACCTACTCATATAATACATGCAATACAAAAATGAAAAATAAATCGTTTTAACGCCCCGACCTACCCACTACCCGCTCATCTTATCTCACAGTGTAGAAAAGAAAGAATAGGAAACGAAAAACGAAATGTGAACAGGTCTGGTCATGTCGTAGATCTTACAGTCGAAAGGGCCACGGCTTTCTCAGATTCTGATCTCGAGGTACGCACGTCTGCTTCATCTTCTTCCTCCTCGTCGCAATATTCGTCTTCGTCTTCGGGATCACCCACGATCCTCCTCCACACTCCGTCCCACACTCCCTTCTTCGTCACCAGTCCTCCCACCAGCAAGATAGGCAGCTGCCACACGCTCGCCCAGAAGAGACCGCGGGCGCTCCCTTTCGCACCCTGGTGCTTCCAGAATTGATATGCCTCCTTGACCAGCCACCCGTTGGCCAGCGTGCTGCTGACCAAGAACCAATTGTTGACAATGCCAGTCCACCACATCCCACAGGCGATGGGGAACATGAGAATCGAATATCGGAGCGCGACGCGCGCATTGCGAGCCGGGTTCACCCACGCCATCATCTGGTGGCCCGCGGCCTTGTATTCCTCCCGGATGAGGTGGGAGAGCGAGTTGAAATGCGGGAACTGCCACGCAAAGAGCAATGCAGCCAACAGCCATCCGCCGATGCTGTCTTCGCTCAGCAGCATATCCCGCCAGGTGTCATGGCCCGTCGTCGCCGTCTGACCCGCTGCAGCAACCCAGCCCATCATCGGGGGAATGGCACCCACGATGGCACCAACCCAAGTATTAATGACATGAATTCTCTTCAGCGGCGTATAGGCAAATGCATAGAGGCATATATTCGCCGCTGATAACGCTGCAACGGTGGGATTCGTCCCCACGTAAAGCAACGTGACACCAGTCAGTCCCGTCGCAATGGCGAAGAGAACCGCTCCGCGACTCGACACCAGTCCACGGACCAGAGGCCTGCTGCGCGTCCGCGTCATTCGTGCATCGTACTTCGGCTCGAAGAACATATTTAGCGTATTGGCACTGGCACTTGACAAGAACGTTCCCGTGGCCAGGTAGAGGAATGTAAGAGTAGAGGTGGACAGGGTCGGTTGGGCCACGGAGGGATCGAGGGTGAGAAGCGCGGAGATTGGATAGAGGCCATATGCAGAGGTAGTCGTCAAGAGAATAAGAAAGGAGAGACGAGGTTTTGTAAGGGCAAAATACGCCGTGAGTTTGCGCCGGAGGGAGGTGGTGGGAAGCGCTGAGGAGATAGCGGAGAGTCGAGCGGAAGCGTCGAGAGGAATGATGGGTTCGCCTGAGGTCGCATTGGCAGCAGCCACCTGCTTTAATCGTTTCCGTCGTGGGTGAGGAAGTTCCTGTGATATCTCTGCAGCAATTGGAGCGGTGGGATTCTCCGTCGGCGGCGCATGGTTGGCGGAGGGTGCGGACGTATTGATCGAGGCCGTCCCGCCTGACGCCAACAGCCCCTTTCTGTCAGCGCCACGAGCCAATGGCTCATGCGAAGAGAAGTAGTCCCTGTGAAAGGCCTTCGGGATGGCCGCTGAGCCGTCAGCAGCTCCAGACAGGCGATACGTCGAGGCAACAAAGCTCCGCCGCAGCGAGCCGGGAGACGGCCGGCCCAGTCTGGAGAGGCATCGCGAGCACAGCGACGCCGAGTCGAGAGCCGACACTGGCCTCAGCAGCGACGGCCGTACGATCATGACAAGGCTGCACCGCAGTTTGCCCGCGGAATCAGCATTGAGGGTGCGTTGTCGGAAAGACGGAGGGCTGATTGGAGAAGAAGACTGGATGCAATTTTGTCGGAGAAGCCGCAGCGACCACAACCGCAGTCCGTCTCCACGTGGATTTCCGACTCGACAGTTACGATTTGCTTTTGTTTACTTCATTCCCCACCGATCAGAGAGAAACATCGACAAGGCATCTTGCGGGCTTCGTTCATCCTCGATATAGCTGACAACTTTCTTCTATTGGACCACGCCAAATGGACAAACTCCAAACCACGGTGCTTGATCCGCTCAAGCCGTACTTGCAGCCCGTCACGACCGCTCTGCCGGAGCCCGTCCACGATGCGATTATCTCGCTGATCGGATCGCCGTGCCACAGCGCACTGGTGCTCGACCTCGACGTCAGCAAGGACCCGGCCTGCACGTCGCTCGCCATCTCCAAGGCGCTGGGCCTGGCCATCGTCGGTGCCAGCGCCATCGTCAAGGTGCCGCAGATCCTCAAGCTCGTCAGCTCGCGCTCCTCGGCCGGCGTGTCGTTCGTCTCGTACGCGCTCGAGACGGCCAGTCTGCTCATCACTCTCTCTTACAACGTGCGCCAGCAGTTCCCGTTCAGCACCTACGGTGAGACAGCCTTGATTGCCGTGCAGGATGTCGTCGTCGGCGTGCTGGTCTTGACGTTTGCCGGGAAGCCTGCCGCGGCAGCGACCTTTGTTGCTGTCGTTGCGGCGAGCATCTACGCTCTGCTGTTCGATGCGAGCTTGGTGGATGCACACACGCTGGCCTACCTCCAGGCGGGCGCGGGCCTGCTGGGCGTCGCGAGCAAGGTGCCGCAGATTTACGCCATCTGGCGAGAGGGTGGAACCGGACAGCTGAGCGCGTTCGCTGTAAGCAATTTCTACTCTACAACAACTCGACAGGCAGACAGAAAGACCTGATCGCTGACTGACTGACTGCTTCCGCTTGACTGCAGGTGTTCAACTACCTCCTCGGATCGCTCTCCCGCATCTTCACGACGCTGCAGGAAGTCGACGACAAGCTCATCCTGTACAGCTTCGTCGCCGCTTTCTCGCTCAACGCCATCCTCGCGCTGCAGATGGTCTACTACTGGAACAGCCCGGGCCTTGCCCGGGCCGAGAAGAAGCCCCAGAAGACGGTGGTGGAAAAGACCCCTGCTGCTGCTGCTCCTGCTCTTGCTGCTGCTACGGCCGAAAGCAGCAGCGTCGCCCCGAGACCGACAGGAAAGACACCCACTACCAGACGGAGGGGTTAAAAAGAAAAAGAGAGTCATTTGACTAGTTTTTCGGAAGTAATGCCATTGCCAGTATTAGTTATTAGTTATTACTTTTTTTCTTTTTAATAACCCAGGAACTTTTGCAAATCCGACCATTTCAAATTCCCCCCTTATTGTTGTACTGTAACCCGAAAACTCCCTGAAAATGCTTCCCATCCATGCCATGTCCTGAACACCTCACCTTCCATGCTCCCACGTATGTATCCATGCCCTATTCGACGCCTTGAAAAAAACACCTCCCATCCTCCATGTATGCAGATGTATTGTCGTGTCAAAAGAAAGAACATCGAGTCTCGAGTCTCGAGTCTCGAAGAAGAAAAAGCCGACGACCGAGATCGATCAGCACAGAAGAGCCCAGGATGCCTTCGGACGGGCCAGTCGGGAAAGCACAACGTCCTTGCCGACCCAGTCCTTCAGGATCTCCGACCACTTCGAGCCCGGTTTGAGCGGTCCGATGGTCTTGAATTCGGCGTTGTTGTCCCGCATGTGCAGGTAACTGGGTTCGGAGCCTAGCTCGGTGACCACCCTGTCGAAAAGAGGAGCAATCGGGCATCCGAGGTCGACGTTCTCAGCCAAGAGACCACGGTGAGTGTGGACGGACATTCTGGCGAAGGAATAGAATCCAACAATGTCGTCCTGCTGTAGATGTATCACCATGCCCTGCAAGGCGTCGACCTGCCATCGGCGGAGGCTGCGGATGAGTTGGAGGCTACAATGCATACTCCAGAAAGGGTCCAATGGACGGCAAAGGTTGAAGATGTTAGCCTTGAAAGGAATCAACCGCGCCTCCCAATAAATTGTGCGACAAGTCAACAGGAGGGCAAGGAAGCGCTCCAGATTGAACCGGACGGGAAGGAAATCCGGATAGGTCCCGCCGCTCAGTGGTGGTAATGTGAAGACGTGCTCGTAAATAATCAAACGAATTTCCCTGTGCAGACGGAAAAAGGACTCGGACACGCGGGTTTTGGTGGCGGCCGTATAACAATATCCTGGATGGATTTTTTATCTGCCATCTCGCTAGACATCCTAATCTGCCATCTCGCTTGACATCCTAAGTCCGTGTGAGGGCGTTGCGTAGTGTAGCTGGGGACCATGTCAGCCAAAGTCTACCACGACAAAAAAAGAAAGAAAGAAAGAACACATGGAAACTGAAACATGCAATCATGAAGCTGACAAAATTCTTATCCTGAGTAGGCAATGTCGCGGAACCAGGTGCAGGCGTGACTGCAGCCCTAGCCACCGCTCTAGCCCTAAACAGATCTCCAAAATAAAAACAGAAAGACACGCAGGAATACAACTAACCTTTGAGATAGCTCAGACTTGCAGAGCAGTCAAGTGCAAAGAACAGAGCAGGAACAACGGAGAAAAAGGAGCCCACCAGTCAAAGATGGGACGTGTCAGAGATGGGATGAGACTGGTGTGGACAAGTCATGAAGCAAGACAAGAGAGATTTTATATCGCTCCATGGCAGCGGTCTATGAAGGCGGTGAAGGGGCAGTATGTGAATTCACGGTGCGATATTCACGGTCTGAGGAGCACGTGCTTTTTGCTCGTCACTTAGAGGATGCTGACTTGGGCTGTGTGCCAGTCATCATGTAACGGAATACCTCATCCAGAGGCAGAGCGGGTATCGCCGGTTTGGATGGGGCAGGGCCTCTCTCCGCAGCGCTCTCAGAAGACTCGACACCAGCACCTGGAGCCTTCTCTTGGACTCCTACCATTTCCATCTCGTCTTCTACTTCCTCCTCCTCCTCCTCTTCCTCTTCTGATTCCTCGTCCGCGAGCTGACGCTTCAGACCCGTGACCACATTCTGGATGCCCATTTCTTTTCCTCCAACGTGAAATTACCACCCCAGTTCCGCCTTCTTGCTTCCATGTTTGCTTCAATGGGTGCCCATTCCCACAGCTCGGTCAGCTCCTCCTCGCTGAGCCCGTCTCTATCTCCCAGCGCGGAAGCACCTGCAGTCCGGCCCCGCGCAACCCAATCTTCCACGCGAGGATCCAGCTTTGTACGCAGCAATTGTTCTAGAACGCCAGCCTCGGTGCGCCCCGGAAAGGAGGGGGCCGGGTAGGCGACGAGGGAGGAGAGAAGCTCATGATGCTCCCACAGCTGCGCGGAGATACTGTTCAGATTGTTCGAGATAATGTTGGCTTGCGACTGCAGCGAACTCCTGTGTTCAATTAGCGATCAGCAGTCAAACATAACAACAACAACAACAACAACAACAACAACAACAACAACAACAACAACACGAGCGAAGATATACCATGAGGGCAGAGGATCGCTATGCTGCAAGCTTGCGACGAGGGAGCCCAGCGAGTGGGTGAGCTGCATCAGACGCTGTCGCGTCTGCTCGAGAACCTTGACTTGGTTCTCATTTATAGAGGTCGCCATTGGAAGCTGCCAAGCTGTGTATATCAAACGAGGGGCTGTACTGTACCTAGGTAGTCCCTGAGGAGGTTGCGACGTGAGTGCGGACGGCAGATGCTAGTCTGAAAGCGGATGATGACTGGCGTCGAGCTGCGGGCGCTGGTCGGGGTCCAAGCTTTGCCGAGCACGTTCCCCACACGACAGGAAACGGAATGCCCGCACTTCGTCCAGTTCAATCTGGCATTCACGAGGACATGTGTTGATTGCATAAATATATGGCAAGGCATTAGTATCATTGCATAGTTTCTGAATATTTTCCTTAATATTATCTCATTACCTGCTATATACGTTAATCTTCCGAGATTGCACGTCAGATCAATCAATCCTAAGGAGTGATAATAAGTAGTTCCAGACCAAAAGCCTATTTATTTATTAACAGACAGGACTCGGGTATCAAAGCTGTACAAGTGGAGTAAGAGAGAAGGTAAAACAAAAAAAAAGTGACGCTTATATAACTCCCATCTCCGTAAACTCGTATAACATCGTCAAGTGCGCCCCAGGTGCGTCCAGCACTGTCCATGGCGCGGGGAGGGTGTGCTTCACTCCATGGCTGGTAAATCTGGTGCATACATAATCATAACCGGACAACGTAACAAGCAACGCCTGATAGTCAAAGAATGGAAGAAGGCGTTATATCAGAAAACCGCGCCGAACACATTTATCTCCTGAAAGATGGTCATCGACCCTGCTGGGATGGAGGCGGAGGGAAATGGGTCTGTTGCTGCTCAGCGGGCTTCTCAGCCTCATGAGGGTGAAACGCCTGAGCCGGAGCAGGGACGCCCGGAGATACCGGTGACGCGTACGACGCAAACCCGGTCTTCGAGAATCCAGCGTCGTACCTCCGCCCGTCGGAATCGACCACGTCGAAGCCGGATCCATAACCATAACCAGGTGAACCCACCATCTGATGGGGCATAGCGCCAGGGCTCTGGTAGGGAGAGAAATTCCCCCAAGCAGCCTGTCCCGGGGTGCTGATGGTGGTGTCATTCCAGCGCGCATGGAGGTGGTGCGAATAGCTGCGTTCTTTGGCCTTCTTGCGACGGTGACGGATCAGACAGAAGCAGCAGAGGGCGGTGAGGGCAACGAGGATTAGGAACCCGATGATGGGAAACACAATGATAACCGTTAGGAACTTCTGGACGGGTGACTGTGCCGCTGCGGCCGAAGAAGTCGTCAGCGACGCCGTCGTGGTGGGAAGTTCAGTCGAGTTGAAGATCCGGGATGGACTGATCGGGAACGCGGTTCCAATGAGCGTCTGGAAGTGACAGTTATAGCGAATTGCTTCCAGGACTACCAAGTCACAACAAGTCAGTTTGATCCGATGACTCAAGCTGGGGGTAGAAGAGAGAAAATACAATTCGCCAGAAAAGCCTGTTGAGACGTCAATGCGTAGCACGCTTCACAGGTCGAGACCACGTTATCCGCAAACGCCGAGTCGCCGCAGAAGGTGTCCATTGTAGAAGGGGTCGGATTTTGCAGCTGAAACTCAAGCGCAGGCGACAGTGGGGTACATGAAACCAGACAAGGCGTCGAGACATTGGTCACCGCTGCTGGAAAGTTATAGACGCAGGCTGAAAAGGCATAGCGAAGATTGTCTGGGAGAAATGCGATCAGCATTCAACTAGCCCTGCGGAGTGATCGAGGGTTCACATACATAGACCCCAATCTACGTCTGTTTCTCCGGTGGACTGGTCCCCGTAGACACTCTGCAACTCGCAAGAGATGCAACTCTGAAATTGCGATCCGGTGGTGGTGCTGGTGTATTGTGAATCAAGACAGACGATCTCGTCGGTGGTGGTATTCGTCGGATTCGCGCACACACTGGTACAGGGCGAGCCTGGGGTCACCCTCAAGCTGAGGATGCCCGGCACGAGGCTGAGAAGGCAGAGGACAGCGCGAGTAGCCGCCATGGTGAGAATATGGGGCTCCTCTTAGCGACAACAGTTGAGGAAATCAGAAGGAACTAAGAACCAGCCCCCGGGTGAAACTGGCTATGACATCGAAAAGAGATTGCGGGGCATTTGATTAAGAATCTAAACAAACCCAACTTCTCGCGAGAATTATGTCCTCACAGGTCCCAGATAGATGACTGCTGTAGTATAGACGAGATCGAAAGAGCTGTGCAGGAAGAACTCTCGGATTGATAAAAGGCGGGGGGTAAGCAGCGATCGAGGCGAGGCCATCACACTACCGTACCACCTAGGATACTAGTACTAGGACTACAGAGTCCACACAGAGAAAAAGAAAAGACCCTGTCGGCAATCCGGCATGCACAGCAGAGCACGCATTCTTAGCTCCAGAAGCTTAGCTCTCTGGGCGCTTAGCCAGCGCCTCAGATACGATGGGCGGGTAGCGTTCGGTTGCTGATCACAGCACATCAATCAAGTCTGGCAAAGACAAAGCTGATGATGGGTCAGCCAACAGGCAGGAAGCAAAGAATCAAGCAGTGAAAGACTGGCAAGGATTGGCCATGGACAGCGCTGTGACTGTGACGCTCTGCAGCAGACTGCATACTCCGCACACCCCTCTCTGCAGGCGATTGCAGCGGCAGACACGCTGATTCGCACAGGCTAAAAGGCCGGAACTGCAGGCACAGACCAGCCGGCCAAACCAAACACCAATGATGAGGCGCAATGAGAGCAATGCAAGATTAATAGCCTGGAAAGCAGATCAACGCGAGTGGACAGCATGCGCTGGGGTTTAGATGGATTGAGTGGAGAGATCATGGCAAGCGGGGAGCCAGCAAACATTCCCACTAAGGAAGTATGGAGTAAGACACCGCAGACAAGCATTCACCTAGTAATAGTCCCAGCGCAAAATATGTACTCAGCTTGAGGGTTGTACAGAATGTGCATTCAGCTGATCCTGCCATCCAATTAATTCACCAGGCGAAATGTAGTACAGGTTTGCAGCCCTGGAATGAATTCTGAATCCCCATTACGGTAGTCATTCACAGTCACTCTGTACTACACTGGGTATTTCCAATAGCCCAATCCAAAGGCAGAGAGTAGGTATTAGCAGAGCAGAAATTCTACACGATCGACGCTGGAAAAATAAAAAGTGGCGGCAGATTGCTTCTGCTTGTAGTCATACTATGTACAGCAGGCTACCAAGAAGAAGAAATTCAACCTGGCAGGTACAGTACATGTACTGTAGACAACAAAAACAGGAATAAGCTATAGCTTAGCAACATGTGACCTGTCATAGGATGTATTTATATCCTTCCTGCTGATCACAGCGGGCAAACCGCGCGCTAAATCCTTATTACGTGCCTTAGTATAGGTACCTACCGAGCAAAAAATCTACGAGCACCCTGTCGACTACCCTTCTCGTTTTAGTAGGTGAGCATCGCCGCCCTGAACTCACCCGATGGCGGGTGAGGGGCGGGTGAGTAGGGTGATCGCTGTGCGATAGTCGCGCAACTAGAGTGATTAGTGCAAGGCCAGTTCAACTGGTCTTTTAGCTGGTATGGACAAGTCTCACATTCACTATACCACAGTTTCCTATTGGTGGAGTTTTCTGCACCTCAAATATGACAGTTCTATGTCTCTTATTAGTTTAGAGATATTTGTATAGCCTCTTCTATTGCTGCCTTAAGACCCACTAATTATGGCTCTACATGTCTCTGCAGAACATGAAAATAAAGTTCTAGTTCTTCTCCCAGGTATTTAGTCTGCAGAGCATCCTCCTTTATCGCCACTGTTATGATTATTTGGGTACTAAGCATTTTATAGTCATCTTATTAGATTCCACCGACTTCTTTTTTTTTTGCTATTTTGCGTTGGTTGTGGCCTTTTGTCGATGCTCTTTTCTGTACGCTGACCTGGGGTGGACAATACCATCTCCCTCATCTTACAGTATCCCTATATGGCCTCCATGATAGACGGAACTACGGTTGAAGAATAGGACATCCTGTCTATCCAGGCAGTCAAGAGGTGGAAGAAGGCCTGGTAAGAAGCTATAATCTATAGGTGAGTTTGAAGGCTTTAGCAAGCAAACAACACTTCCCCTGGATTGTGTCCAGCTTCAAAATATACTCCGGCCTGTCCCAGCCTACCTCGCTGATAGGAGACCCCAAACCATGATGATTTTCTTTATCCACGAAAATGTGTCTAAAGGTCTGGGAGACCTCAAACAGCGTATATGACTTGTTGCCAAGAATCCTATCTCACCGATCTCTCTTCGCTGTGCAACATTCCACAATATTGTATTCACGAGGAAGGCACGGCCTTCACTTGGATCATAAGATCAACCAATGACAGGTTTTCCAAACAAAAGCGCAAAGCATCACCTGTCGATTTCTTTGCAAAGGCAGACAACGGTGATACGAGGTCCTTAGGAAGATTGCCGCGATTCTCAACAATCGAATCAATTACCTGAGAAATATGAGAACCAAAAATTCTCGGTATGTAGGGCTTGCTTACACACTGAAGAAAGGACTTGCAGTCGAGATGGCCGCTGCTGAATGCAAACGCTTTGAGAACGATTGCCTGTGATACTTTCTCCATTTTGCTTGTGAAGACAGAACTTCCGGGCCAGGCCACATGTACGTAGTAGAAGTGGTCTTCTTCAGTTCCCTCAGCGGTCCCACATGACATTGATGGCTTCACTGCCTACTGCTTTCGTCAGACGGGTATCGTAACCAATTAGGTATAGTGGCAGAGACTACTAATGCACGAGCTGTAACTTTCGCTACTGGAAGTTCCCACTAGATTATTAACAGGTTAACTACCTAGGTAACTAACTAACTATTTCCTTACAATAATAGTAGATATACTCCGTAGAGCCGAGGCTATTCATATTACCGGATTAGGCAAGCGTCCTCCATGGTGTGGAACTCTCTCCAACAAGCCCAGTCGGAGTCGGGTCGACATAAAGGCCTCTCGCACGATCCACACATAAAATATATGTTAGACTCCCAGCTGGATTCCTTGGAGGTTCTTTCTGCCATGGAATTAATTCGTGGCGTTTTTATATGCATTTTTATATGGAATTCAAATTCGACGTGGCGCGCGTTGACGTGTCGGTTTACTGCCGGTTTTTGAAAAGCGGTGAGAATTTCGGCCAATTAGACGCATTGTCGCTGCCAAGGGGATATGGTGGGACGGTTTTGCTACTTATAACGTTGATTGGCTGTAGGACAGACAGAACACAGTGATACAACGTATTTTATGCATACTATATACGTAGTACACACAGTTATACCACGTATTTTATGCATTCTATGTACGTAGTACTACGGTGGTTCATAGTCGTACCTACTAATGGCCCCAGAACCCTGAAACCCGCACTTGAAGGCGGGTATATAAACCAGCTCGACTCGACTGCTCTGCCGTTTTTATCTATTTTTTTCTTTATCATTTCTTTCTTTCAACAGGGACTTTCGCTTGCCAAGTCACGGATAAAAAAATGACCCAAGAGAAGGAGATCTATCTTCTCAAGAGAGACAAGGATGAGTCTGCTCGGTATGTGCTATATGTATTTAAGTACTCCATGAACAATCTACGGAGCCTCACCACTGACAAGGAATATGTACATATCTATCGCTGCAGGCTTGACGAGCAACATACATTTTTCGTGGACGTAATTGGAGGAAGTCCAATCCATGCATCAATATCGAAGGACCGTCTGTTTGCTGTTGCAGATATTGCGACAGGGACAGGGTAAGTCGCGGACCTCATTTTGACTTGTTAGTGGCTACAATAGGAACATTCTTCACCTGGAGCGAAGTTCAGATGGTTTATAACACTAATCTAATCATGTATATAGAATCTGGCTCAAGCATGTCTCCGAGCTGTTGACGAAGGAGGCCCCGTCAGACCGTTCGCGATATTATCAGGGCTTCGATATCTCTCCTGCCCAGTTTCCTGCTAATGCTGGTGACATACATTTCTCGGTTCAGGATGTGCTGGAGCCATTTCCGCCCGAGCATATGAATCGCTACGATTTGGTCCATGTCAGATTCCTGGCCGGTGCTATCAGACAAGCGGACTACAAGGCTGTGGTCGCTAACTTAGTAGCGCTTCTGAGTAAGAATATCCGGCCCATGTTTACTCCGTGGCCATTCAAATGGTCTGCACAAGTAACTTTGCTGTTTTGATTGTCTGGGACTGGGTTCTTCTCTTCTGCTTTCCGATGGAAACCAGCTAACGAAACCCCTCATCTCCAAAACCAGAACCCGGCGGCTACATCCAATGGGTCGACTTTGAGTTGGACGCCTTATCCCAAAGCAAAAAAGACGAATACCCGCGCTTCTCTGAAATCGCAAAACAAATACTTGATTTTGGAGTGAGGCTCGGACTCAGCAGCAGCACGCCCGCGGTGGTCTACGAGGCAAGCAAAGAAGCCGGGCTGGTGGACGTCACCAGACACGAATGCAGCACCCTTGCGCAGCCGCAGCTGCATGAGAGGGCGCAGCGGTGGATGCTGCGAGCATTCAGGGCTTTTGTGCCGCAGATGTTGCTTCGGAGTGGGAAGGTAGCGAACGAGGAGACCGCGCTGAGAGAGACGGATGAGCTATTGAAGGAGATTGAGGGGTGTTTTGCGGCGGGCGTGGTGCCAGATGCGAGGATTGGGATTGTGGTTGGGCGGAAGCCGGAGTAGGTGAGTCGGTAGGTTGATATATGAAGGACTTCCAAAGTCCAAAAACAGATCTAAGCATAATTGTAGGAGTCATTTCGAGTTGAACTGCTCAATCAGATTGATTACGAAAGGTCGATGAATGACTCTGATGGCGAAAAACTGTTCGGTTGAGCAACTATCCAAGGCATAAAGTAAATGCTCTATGACGGGCATTAGTGGGTTTGTACAAGAGTATTACTCCGTACACTAGAGTATCAGTCACAAGCTTTCCTGTCCATATAGCGGCCTGGATACTACTATTCACCTCTAGTAATGGGCAAATCCGCAGTCCTCGTTTCAATGAGAAACTGACCGCCATTTGAACAACCAATTTTCCAAGCTCATTACGGCTGTCAAGTCCGAAATAGGCCAACCGTGCGTCTTCAGAACAGCCCCAATCCAATATTATTGACGCCGGCAAGACATCACCGCGAAACACGTAGCTGGCATTACCACAGTGGAGGATTGGGGGTAGTCTAGATACATCATCTGTACAGGGGGAGATAGGGGTTATGTATGGCATAGTTCCAAATTACTAATCCCCCTCCCTATTCTCTATGCCTAGTATATGGTAGGGTTCTTTAAGGTTTTGGCAGTTTTTTCCTTAGGGATTGGCTTCTAGGGCAACACCGGATGGTTAAGGCTATCGGGCTAATATAGAATTATGATCCTACCGGCCTTCTTACATAAGGATGGCACCATGTATGTTAGACTGTTGAGGGTGTGCCATAGTCCGAAAACGCTCTATAAATACAAGGAAGATTACTTTCAAATGAGAGGTTGGTGATACTACTATACTCCCGGCCAGAAGGTATCCGTTCCGATAACGTACTCGGAGAGGTGGCTTGCATACGTTATTAGTCGAGATTATTTTCTTTTTCTGTCGAGTGTCAACCTCAAATAAAAGAGGAATATAGACTTGTAAATTTACTAGAATTTACTTTGAAACTTAATATCATTGGACCGGTCATTGTACAGGGACAGGTCGGAGTGCAAAGGGAACTGATCTCTGGCCGGTGATTTATCCTGCGCAGTCGGCGGGTGATGATAACAGATAACAGATTGTGCAGCTGTGCCAGATTCGGGCCGTCCGTATTTTCCTCTTCACGGAGCTCGGCACGTCAGCCAGGCTGCATAATTCGGTTCCTGAAGCTTGCTCAAGTTATGCACAGCCGAATTATTCACCATCCGATGTGCCGATATGAACCTCCAGCATTTCGACTTGCGAATTCTTTGTTGCGCCCCCTTGGATTTTCTTTCTTTGTTTCCTTGCCAGATTCCTCCTTAGCTTCGACGGGCACCTGTTCTCTTCTTGTGCTTCTGTTCTCGGCGATCTGTATCGACTTTGACCTGATCAACTGCCATATGGGAGGGCAAAAGAGCACCTCCGATCTGGAGGTTTCCAAGACGCCACACTGGCGTCTCGTCATCGACCAAGCTGTGGTGACTCCTGAGGTGCAGAACTTCCCCTACACCGGGTCGGGAACGTGTGATGACCCCTATGTTATCACCTGGATTCCTAATGATCCCCGCAATCCAATGCTCTTCTCGCCGGTGAAGAAGTGGATGCTGACGGCTCTGGTTTCTGTTTCAACCCTTGCTGTCGCGTTTGTCTCCTCTGCATACAGTGGTGGTGCAGCTCAGGTCATGGAGCAATTCCATGTCGGTTCAGAAGTGGCCACACTCGGCGTCTCCTTGTTCGTTCTAGGCTTCGCGATCGGACCGTTGATATGGGCGCCGCTTAGTGAGGTGTTCGGTCGCCAAATCCTCTTCGTCGTCACCTATGGCTGCCTAACAGCCTTCAACGCAGGTGCCGCTGGTTCTCAGAACATCCAGACGCTCTTAATCCTGAGATTCTTTGCTGGTGCATTTGGATCTTCACCTCTGACCAATGCAGGAGGTGCAATTGCAGATATGTTCGATCCCTCACACAGAGGGCTGGCCATGACTCTCTTCGCGGCTGCTCCTTTTCTGGGACCTACGCTTGGACCTGGTGAGTCAAAGTCTCTGGCCCTTCTCAAGTCGCACTGGTTGATCGTTTCGTCCTAGTTATCGGAGGCTTTCTTGGCATGAATGAAGGCTGGAAATGGGTAGAAGGTTTCCTGGCCATTTTTTCCGGCGCTCTTTGGCTCGTTGGTGCTGCGTTACTGCCCGAAACGTATGCTCCTGTTCTTCTACGCAAACGGGCCGAGAGACTAGCCAAGATGACCGGAAAAGTATATCGGAGTAAGCTGGATGCTGATCGACCAAGAAGCTCCTTGAAGGAGATGTTTGGCGCGGCGCTATTGCGACCCTGGATACTTCTCTTTCGTGAGCCGATTGTGCTCATACTATCGATATATATGGCTATAATCTATGGGACCCTCTATATGCTGTTCCCTGCATTTCCCATCGTCTTCCAAGAAGTACGAGGCTGGAATCAAGGTATTGGGGGTCTGGCATTTCTTGGTGTCACAGTGGGCATGATGTTCGCTGTCGCTGCTGCTCTCTGGGATAACAAGCGTTACATCCGCGTTGTCCAGAAGCATCAAGGGTTTGCTCCTCCAGAATCTCGACTCCCTCTATGCTTAGTTGGTGGCCTCGCACTTCCAGTTAGCCTGTTTTGGTTTGCATGGACAAATTATCCATCCATCCACTGGATTGTCAGCATAATTGCAACGGTTCCATTCGGGTTTGGGGTGGTCACTGTCTTTTTGACTGTTGTCAACTATCTGGTTGACTCTTACACGATATTTGCGGCTTCTGTCTTAGCGGCCAATGCCGTTCTTCGTTCCCTGTTCGGCATGGCATTTCCACTTTTCACCACTTACATGTATCACAACCTTGGTATCCACTGGGCTTCAACAATTCCGGCTTTCCTCGCCCTGGCCTGCACTCCTTTTCCCTTTCTCTTTTATAAATATGGAAGCGCTATTCGGCTGAAGTGCAAATTTGCCGCACTGTCGGATGATTTCATGCGGAAACTGCGCGAAGCCCCTCAACAGCGGGCTGAGCAGACGGATGAGAGCATGGGAGACACAGAAGATATCAATGAGAAGGCGACGCCGCCCGAGGCTAGCAAGGTGACAAGTGACCGGCGCCAGTCAATGGCTTCCACGGTATATAATGAGGAGAGCGCATAATAGGAACCCATACGGTATTGATCGTGTTCATACTGGTCACTCCATAGAGTACATGACATAGCAATCAGCAGCGAGTGGCGAATCAAAAGAGATGATCCGGTCAGCACAGTGCAGCGGAGAAATGAGGTCTTTATACCCCCTCAACGGCAAAAAGGCCTCTCTCGCGAACCAAGAACCCCCCCCCCCCCCCCATGTTACTAGTTGTTCACGTTGGCCTTATAGACATAGATAAAAATTCCACTCGACGCAATTTTCGTGAGCTTTAGAATATTTTAATAAAACCCCTGTATTACCATCTCCGTAATAATTCAGGGAATCTTTTTTGGGCGCTCCCAGATTGGCTTATAAGCGGCTCCAGTGGTCGCCCCAAATCCTACATCTGTGCATGGTGGCTGATCGGATCTCTTTGCAACCATGCATGGGGAAGAAGAAGTTTTGGCCATTGGCAGACCCTCCCATGTTATGGCCGATAAAGAGTCCGTCCTCGGCCGCCCTAGCTCTAATAGCCATGGACCCAAAGGATCAGCACGGTTATGGTGCGCTAGCGGACAATAAATAATTGGTGAAAATGATGTACTTATTTGCAACTAAATATTATATTTTACCCGTAGGATTCTCTTTGCGATCGACGAGATCCTGCCGACAACAATAGTAGATCGCCAGACGCTGTGGCTAATGGCTCCGCGGGCCATCCTAGGTTGTCTGCCCAGCCCGATCGAGGAAGAAAGTAACATGTACATGTATTCTTTCGAACCCAGTATCTCAGCACCGCCTGCAGAGAAGTTCTCCATAAAGTATAGAGGGACGGTGTCAAAGATTTTCGAACCCCAGCGGGTGAATGGGGGAAAACCCCCTGGAAGAGTCCTGCCAAGATGCCCGCCCTCTACTCCGCTGGACACTTAGTGAGGTCCCAAGTGGGCGACATTGCCATTGTCCAATCTGGGACGAGGCGATGAAGCATATGCGAATACATCAGATATGAGACGCTTGGATGATGGGTCCGTTTGTTGTCTACTCATAGTTGTATACCCGGAAAGATGTCGAACTTTTGATTGACGGTTGAACGCCACGATCAGAGATGGCCTCTCTACATGCCGAGTATCAATACATGCTGAGCACTAACTGTCAACTAGCAGAATCTCCCTTTAAGCATACATTATTTTAGTTTGATAATCACTCTGCTAATGTCATTGTCAATATTAAGCTAGATTAAACTATGACTTGACTCCTGTGATGCAAGCAAATTGCAAGGCATATTCTGTGCATAACCATTGCATTCTACCCCTGAGGTTTCACCTAGACATTATAGGATTATCCACAGCAAGTATTGCCACTTCAAACTTCATATTTGCTATTTAAGAGGATGCTAGATTACTAGTTTCAGTGCAGTAATGCTTACTAATTAAGTGGTGATAGAATGAATATAGCATCTGGATTATGTATACGAAAGGCTAATGCAGGTGTGGCTGATAAGGGGAAAACTCGAATAAGGTTGGTAATCAAACCTGACTATGGCCAGCTTCTTAGAGTCTAGAGTTGGAACGATTTAGTGTGTAAAATGAAGGATGACATTAATCCTATGGAGTATAAATAAAGGTATTCTATATAGTAATGAACTTCTTACTAGAGAAGGGTCTAGAACCCTAGCTAGGTTTATAATATCTTTTAACAAAGTTACAATAATAATAACCACATTCGGGAAAGTCATGACAATGCTAACACCTTATTGGCTCGTTTTACTAACAGGAAGTGGTACTTTGGCAGAGGAAAGGAAGGGGATCTGTGTTAGTACTCCGGTAATAATTAAGGATGCCTGAAGACATTAAACTTCATCTATCTCCTGATGACGTCTAGTCTAAATCCCAGAGGACAGAGGAACAGGAATTATAATAAAGAAGCAGGATAGAGAGAGATCTGGGAAAGGAGGAGAGTTAAGAAGAGAATAGAGGTATAAGATTGTAGTTAGGAAGCTAATTACCTCTTTTGGAAGGCAGCAAGGTCTCGGGTCACCTGATCTTCTAATAGGTGGAGATACCATCTGAAGGAAAGCTTTCATACAAGATCTTATATAGAATAAACATCGTTACAGCAGAAAACCCATCTATAAGGATTAGGAATGTGCGCTGAACAGACCTGGAAGCTTATAACTTAGAATGGCAGCAGCTGGCTAAATTAAGCCCTATTTTCAGAAGCCGCCTAGGCATGCAGAACTCTCTCAAAGCATACTTGAATAACTATTTGACAGGGTAATTAACTCAGAGCATCATTGCGCTCAGACGTGGCAGTGACAATAGGAAATCTCTGTCGAGGAAGCTATTGTAACCCTATCTTGAGTCTGTCGGCGCAGACAATAAGATGACCGAATTTTGACTAACTTTTTGACTAGACTAGAATCCCTAGTATAACATGAAGAAATAGTGATAATTATAAAAGATCAAGAAGATGTGAGAACAGACTAATTTTATATGGTATCAAGAGAAAGATGAGCGAAAAACAGCTTGAGCAACCAATTCTAATGATTAGAACCTATCTATCTAATTCGATCTTATCGCGCGAAACAAGGAAAATTCTAATGAGCATAGCGATCTACTCGTACGCAACATGACTATCGTATCTTTATCCTATATTCTATCTTATAGAGGATAAATGAAATACTTACTCTCCAAATCCATCAAATCGAGCAACAAGACCTCCACTTCGACTTTTCACTGGACGCCCTTCTTCATCAACCTGCTTAACAAAGCCCACCCCATGCTTGCCCAACGCCTCCTGCTTGGCAATCCAAGCCTGTTGCTCTACATTTTGACAAGACAAGATCCATTAAATGATCAGTTAAATCACCGGCGTGCTGACCTAGCTAACCATGCCAGATCTGGTGCTGGTTGCTCTTTATAGAGACAATCTTCTTCACTGACATTACTATCCTTAGATGCCCATCTACCCATATTATTAGCAGTTATCATAAAAAAAAGTGGATCAAACCATATACCCTATAGTCTACTAAAACTCTGTTCTGAAGTTCAATCGAGTCGTCAGAATACTTGTTTTCAGCTCTCACACTGTCCTTGTCTTAATATGTCCCTTTCTCATAGCCATTTGCCTTGGCATGAGCAGGTCTATCCACCTTTTTCTTGAGCATATTGGCAGATTTCTAGCAATAACTTGCACCAGAGAGAGAACAGAAAATCTGTAGAGACAGGCATGGAAATACAGCAAAATATCCGCAGAATCAAAAGAAAGTGCGGAAGGGAAAGAAAAGGAGAGTGGAGAGGCAGGCTGGAGAAAACGGAGAGAACGAAATAGGCGCGCAGGACACCTCTTTCACCACTGTTTTTTTTCTCTTTGGAGGTCGCAGGGGATGACCCACTGCCACCTTCAATTTTTCTATCTATTCCATGTATAGCGACTCCTTGGTTGGATGTTGTTAAACAACTGGCATGAGCATCAGGAAAGGATGGGTGAGGATGGAGTGAGTATAAATCAGTTTGGGTGATCTGATCACCCAGCTCACCCCGTTAAAGCAGCAGTGTCCGAGTGAGGAAGGAGAGAACTGCTCGCAGATTTTTGAACGATATTTTGACCTATCTATCAAAAATCTACGGGCACCTGGTCGACTACTCTTCCGGTACTAGTAGGGGAGCAACGCCGCCCTGAGCTCACACGATCGGGGTGAGGGGCGGGTGAGTGGGGTGATCTACAGGCGCCTGTCGCACGACTAGGGTGATTAGTGCTGCATAGGCTCACCCTTCCACGCTTCAGCTGAAGCACTAGTCTCACATTCTCCATAACAAAGGTATATGAATACAAAGCCCTAATGCCACCTAATTTGCAGAGCTACAAGCTGCTCTAAATTTACCGGCAAAATACTGGTGAACAAGACAAGGAAAGACAATAATAAAATCCTTCTAGCTCCAATTATGATGAATGCAATAGCTTATGAAAGATAGCTTATTATTGTGAATGTTCTCGGCGTAAGGCTGCCGAGAGCTCAGTGGGGAAATAGATGAAGTCTATCTAGGCATAGAAGATCAATATATTATTGCTCCCTCTGGGGAAGAAAAAGAAGAACTGACTAGGAGCCGGCGTTGAGGTCGGCTCTAAATCTGCGTGGCCGGTTTGGCGGTCACGTGGTAACTGACAGCTGATTGGTCAGACCTGGCAGCTGCCTGAATGCCGTATGGGTCAGGCACCAACACACCCCCCTCAGCGCCAGGGCTGGCCAACAAATTCTACATACATGAAGTCCTTTCCAAAGGTATTTTGACTTGACCAATCCCATTGTTCCGTTTATTCGTCGTTATGGTCGTCAATTCCATCATCCTTGACGTCCACTTTG